TTCTTCCTTCTTTCTTCCTTTCTTTCTTTCTTTCTCTCTTTCTTTCTATTTCTCTCCCTCCTTTCTTCCTTCCTTCCCTCTTTCTTTCTTTCTCTCTTTCCTTCTTCCTTTTTCTCTTCCTTTCTCTCCTTCCCTGTCCTGTCACCCCTGAATTCCTCTGCAGGAAGGGAATTGAATTTAACCTCGTTCTGTGGGTTGGAAGTGCCTCCATCCTCCACCTCTCCCAAACTCTGAACATTTTTAATTTAACTTTGTGGGGTTTTTTCAATCTAAATTCCATTTCACTGTAAATCCCCACAGTTGACTTCACTGCTTCCCTTCTCTGGGAATTCCTCCTGCTGCTGCAGCCAAGGGCACCTTTATTTTGCAGTTGGATAACAGCAAATATTGCAAAAATGGGGGGGACCAGTTGTCCAAAGCTTTGTTTTCAGGACCCGGAATATCAGGAAGTGAATAAATGTCACCTCTTGGCCAGGTTTCCTGACCTGGGGTTCTCCTGAGAGCCCATTCTTTGTAGGATGACTTGGATAACCCCCTCAGGAGCCCAGAAAACTCTGCCAGGGAGGGTTTGCTTCGATGATTCCTCCTAATTTTGAGGGATTAACACAGGAAAGTGCCAGAGACAAAGATCTGGGCTTGCCAGACTTCATCTGTTTCCTTTCAAGGGCCACAGCAGCAGCTTTTCCAAGGAAGAGCAAAAATTCACTGGAAAAGCAAAGTATGTTTTCTAACCCCTATCCTTATTTCAGCATTTCTTTCCTCAAAAAAACAGCAAGGCCCAATTTAAACCCAAAAGGCTCCCAGGAATGTGGTTCCAAGAGATCTTCAAGCTCCTGTGCTGGGAAATGTCCTTTGTCACCTTCCTGAGAAAAGCTGCCTTGGCTTTCTGAGGGATCCCATCACTCTCCAGGTTGTATTGGAATGGAAGGAAAGGAAATCTTTGGCTGCTGACAGATCCATGAGGGCAAAGAAAACTCGTGCCTGGAGTCGTAGTTATATAAATATTATATAAAACAACAATGTCCTTGTCACAGGAGCTCTCAGGTCCCACCAAAGTCAAACAGAAGTCACCCAGATGCTTCCAGAAAACTGAATTTGCTCTAAGGAAGGGCAGTCAGTGAGGGATTTGTGTTGGGTTTGAGGGCAGCCCCAGGAATGGCTCCTCCTTCCTCCTTGCACCCCAAAATCAGGGAATCACAGAACACCCTGAGCTGGGAGGGACCCCCAAGGATCACCCAGTCCAAGCCCTGGCCCTGCCCAGCACACCCCAATACTCCCTTCTGTCCCTCAGAGCGTTGTCCAAACCCTCCTGGAGCTCTGGCAGCCTTGGGGCCGTGCCCAAATGTGCAATATCCTGGGAAGATGGACCTCCTGACTATTTCTGATCCTAAAAACCACAATTTCTGTTTCTAGAAAGGCCTCCTGCACGGGTTTGTCCCCTGTGCAGACCCAAAGCCACGCAGGGCACGGGGGGTTTGTGTGTGTGAGGGAGCAGGGACGGGAGGGGAGATGTGTCAGGGAGCAAGGACAGCAGCACTGGAGACATCCCAACATCCCAAAATGTCCCTGGGACTGAGAGGAGATTCACTGGGGGCTGCAGCTCCTCCTGAGGGGCAGCTCCGACCTCTGGGAGCAGGGACAGGACCCAGGCAAGGGCTGGAGCTGGGACAGGGCAGGCTCAGGGTGGATCTCAGCACAAGGTTCTTCCCCCAGAGGGTGGTGGGCACTGCCCAGGCTCCCCAGGGCAGTGGGCACAGCCCCAAGGCTGCCAGAGCTCCAGGAGGGTTTGGACAACGCTCTGAGGGACAGGGGGGAGTGTTGGGGTGTCCTGGGCAGGGCCAGGGCTTGGACTGGGTGAGCCTTGGGGGTCCCTCCCAGCTCAGGGTGTTCTATGATTCTGTGGCAATTCTCCTGCCTGCCAGAGCCCGTGTCACCCCCTGTGCCACCCTGTGCCCCCCCCAGCACCTCCCCCTGCAGCCGGACACGGGAGCTGACGCTCCTGCCCTGCCCCATCCCAGGGATTTCCAGGTGTTTCCCTGTTTGCCTCTTACCTTTCGCAGCGAGCCGGGAGCCGGGGCACAGTGGCAGCCAGGGCACAGTGACAGCCGGGCTGCTGGCCCTGCAGGAGCCACGAGCCAGCCTCGGGGGGCTTTCCAGGGCTGGCATCTCCCTACTCCTCCTCGCCGGGAATCGCCGGAGCCCCGCGCCCGCCAGGTCTGTGCCCACACCGGGAACGGGAGCAGGGGGTGGTGGAGAACTGGGAAGCTCCAGGAGCCCGGGAGCTGCCGGGCAGCAGAGCTGAACTGATGGAAAAGAGGGAGCCAGGGCTCTGCCTGCCAGGGTTTGTTTGCTGTTCCAGCAGTGCCAGGGTTTTCCTGCTCCTTCGGGCTGGATGTGAACCCGAGGCAGCTGCACCCACGAGGATAAACTCGGGTGGGTGTTTTTTTGGGAGAGTTGCTGGGCTTTCCTGGGGATGGTCCTGTGCAGAGTTAAGAGCTGGACTCGATGATCCTCGTGGATCCCTCCCAACTCAGCACATTCTGGGATTCTGGGATTCTTCTTCAAAATAATGTGATCCCTACCCAGCGTGTCAGAGAACTGATTTAATGTTCTGTGATCAGACAAAGCTGATGTTTTGGAAGAGAATTAAGTGAATTAAGTGCCCCCCCCTGCTTAAATGCTTCTTTTTAAGGCCACACAAGGATCTGAGGTGTTGCCCAGGCCATGGATGACCCTGGGACAGGCAGGGAGACCTTACGGATTTTCCAGAGACAGGTGGGGCTGCAGGAGGTGCTTCCACTCGGTGTAGAATTCCAGATCTGTGTCCACATGGCACTGCTTCCCCCTGGGATGTGCTGCTGGCCCATCCTGGACAGGAGCAGTGTCCTGGATGCTGCACTGTTGCAAAATTTCCCAGAGGAAATGGGTCTGTCTTGTGCAATCCTCCAGAACGTTGTCTGACCTACTCATCCCTGCAGGAACGGGCAGGGAAACGAGCCAGGGAGGTCAGTGGATCCTTTAGGGTGGTGGAGAAGCTTGTTGCTGGCAGAAAATTTCGGGAATAGGGGATGGGCTGGGCTGGTTTTTGCTCCGGCAAAAAGCTCAGGCTTTTTGTGGGTCATCAGAGCATGAGAAGTTTCTAGGGAGCTGTGTTTTCCAAAGGTGAGTGTTCCTCTTGTCCCCCTCAGTTTCTGGTGCTGGGTTCCTGATGTTTTTGGCAGCAATTGGAGGGAGAGAGAAAGTGTTGGAGATGTTTGCTCAGCAGCAATTAGAATAAGTGTCCTCTGATTTGGGAGAGCTGAGGGAATTGTATCTCATGGACGAGGATCTGACATTTAACACCCACCCCTGCTACAGGAGAAACAGCACAATTCCACCTCTAAAGGGAAGAGAAATGCAGCCAAAGAATCAGGATCATGGAATTATAGCTGGAAGGGTTGGCTTGGAAGGACTTTAAAGCCCATCCAGCTCCACCCCCTGCCACGGGCAGGGACACCTTCCACTAGCCCAGGTTGCTCCAAGCCCTGTCCCGTTCCAGCTCCAGTGGGAGCAGCCTCTAGGCTCAGGGAGCAGCTTTTTGGGCAGCCAGGCCCATCCTGCTCTGCCTGGGTTGGGAACCAGCCAGGACTGAGGCATTTCTGACATGTGAACTGCACACAGAAGTTACGTCTGGTGCCAAAGCTCTGCAGCTGCATTGGAACTCAAAATGATAATTTATGGCTCTCTTGGGATACTCCCCACGGCCTCAGCACCTGGACAGGCACCAGGGACTTTCCAGAGGTCCAGACTGGCCTCTCTTCTGCCCCAGCCGGGCTCAGATCCCACAGCACATGGGAAGTTTCTCCTGGACTTGCCTTTGGCAGCTCTGACACTCCGGAGCTGTGAGGATCTGGGTGTTGAAGAAATTCGGAGCAGGCCTTGGAATTAGAGAATCCCAGACTGGTTTGGGTTGGAAGGGACCTTAAAGACCACCCCATTCCAACCCCCTGCCATGAGCAGGGACACCTTCCACCAGCCCAGGTTGCTCCAAGCCCCGTCCAACCTGGCCATGAAGGGATATTGTGGATTCACCTTCACCTACTGAAAAAGGGCAGGGTCAGATGGGATATTGGGGAAAAATCCTTCCCTGGGAGGGTGGGGAGGGGCTGATATAGAATTCCCAGAGAAGCTGTGGCTGCCCCTGGATCCCTGGAAGTGTCCCAGGCCAGGTTGGATGGGGCTTGGAGCAACCTGGGCTGGTGGGAGGTGTCCCTGCCCACGGCAGGGGGTTGGGATGATCTTTCACATCCCTTCCAACCCAAAGCTCCTGTGATTCCAGGATTTATGGTGTAGATCTGGCACCTGCCTGACGGTAATGAGTGGATAAATAGCAATTCATGGGAGAGCAGGACATGGCCAAGGCTGCTGCCAAAGGCAGGGAATTCCCACTGAATCCCTTGGGAACAGCTGCTGGACTGTGCAGTTTTGCCCCAGGTCATTCTGGACAGGGGCTGTCACTGCTCAGGGATTGTCCCTCCCAAGAGAGGGAGGAGGGGTGACCCCCCAAAACCTCCTGTGGGATGGGGTGGGATGAAGTGGAATGAGGTGGGATGGGATGGGATGGGATGGGATGGGATGGGATGGGATGGGATGGGATGGGATGGGATGGAGTGGGATGGGATGGGATAGGATGGGATAGGATGGGATGGGATGGGATGGGATGGGATGAGGTGGGATATGGTGGGATGAGGTGGGATATGGTGGGATGAGGTGGGATGAGGTGAGATAGGATGGGATGTGGTGGGATGGGGTGGGATGGGCTGGGATGGGCTGGGATGTAGTGGGATGTAGTGGGATGTAATGGGATGGGGTGGGATGGGGTGGGATGGGGTTGGGATGGGAGCCACCACCCCAGGTGAGGTCCTGGCTCAGCAGGATGCAACCTGGCTAAACCAGGATGCTGATTTTAGGCTGGGCACAATCCCAATTTACAGCCCCTCAGCAGCTGTCTGGGGAGAGCAGTGAGGATCACAAAGCCCCTCTGGTTCTGGCTCCAAACCTCGAGCTTTTGGGACAGTGAGATGGGAACACATCATGGAGCAGCTCCCTGACACCTCTGGCTTTTCCCAGCCCTGGGCAGTCCCACTCCAAACCAGTCCCAGTGTGGAATCCACACTGGAGCTGCACAGTTGAAGGCTTTGGGCTTGTTGAGATTTTGGAAGGAGGTTTCCTGGGTGTCCCTCTCTTGTTTTTGCCACCTGATGTGAACATGGAGGTGGAGACCCCTCGGCTCCCACCAGCTTCCAGGAGAACCCTGGATTAGGGAATACCTCACAACCCAGAAACCTCCCAAATTACAGAGTGAGCTGGGTGAGGACATCCAGCCTCAAAATGCCAAATCATCAGCACCTCAAGTGCCTCTGATAATTATTGATAATTGATATCAAATAATTGTATAATTATTTGATAATTATCCCCTGCTGTTGACAATTGCTGTGAGAAAACATTGCCTGTCTTTATGATGAGAAAATATTGAGAATCCAGGGAAATTGTCCCTCATTTTGAAGTTCTTGCAGTGATTTCTCAGCAGTTCTATATTTTGCAGCATCTCGGGAGGAGGAACCTCAGAAAAAGGTTGAAACTCCTCCTTCTCTTCCTTTCCTTTCCAAGGGATCTGCAAACAGCTGGGAAATGGGGATGGATTTTAACTCTTCAGTCACTCAGTGGCCAAGGGGAGCAGGTTGATGTCGCCTGGGCTGGTGCCACTCATGTCCCCCAGGGCTCTGTGGGGAGGAGAATGGGGCTTTATCCATGGAATTCCTCCACTCTGGAGCCAGCCTGGGAGAGCTGGGGGTGCTCACCTGGAAAAGAGAAGGCTCCAGGGAGACCTGAGAGCCCCTTCCAGTGCCTAAAGGGGCTCCAAGAGAGCTGGAGAGGGACTGGGGACAAGAGATGGAGGAACAGGATAAAGGGAATGGCTTCAAAGTGACAAAAAGCAGGGTGGGATGGGATACTGGGAAGGAATTCTTCCCTGGGATGGGGGGGAGGGGCTGGGATAGAATTCCCAGAGAAGCTGTGGCTGCCCCTGGATCCCTGGAAGTGTCCAAGGCCAGGTTGGACAGGGCTTGGAGCAACCTGGGCTGGTGGAAGGTGTCCCTGCCCATGGCAGGGGGTGGAATGGGATGGTCTTTAAGGTCCCTTCCAACCCAAAACATTGTGGGATTCCACGAGAATTCATCACCTTGAGCTGAGGGTTTGACTTTCAGGGAGACTCAACCCCCAGGAACGCACAGAAAAGGGTTCAGAGCACAAACCAGCCCAGGCAGTGGCATTAGAAGTTCCCTGATGGGAGTGTGTGGGATCAGCTCCATGTCTGCATTGATTGTGGTTTCCTTCAGCTGCTCTTCTCCCTGAGAACAAGAAATTGCTGTTTTTCCTGGGAAGGATGTTGGGGTGTAAGATCCTCCCTCACTTCCTCTGTCTCAGCATCTCCTTTTACAGCATTTGTGCCACAACATGGCACAAACAACCCAAAGAAGCCTCCAGACACCTCTTGCTGCTGCAGGGTCATTAAAGGCAAACTCTTTCCTCTGCAGAGTTCCTGGAAAACATCCCTGCACCATTAAATCAGTCATGGAATTCCTGCCTGGGCCTTCTCCTGGCTTCGTACCCCAGGGTCCATTTCCAGGATGGATTGGAAATTATTATCATGCAGTGCTTCATAAAAAAGCCCCAAAACAACCAGAGGGTTTTGCTGAGGTGCTGCTGCCCCAGATTTAAAGCTGCAGGAAGCACTGACAGGACTCTCAGGTGACAACAAGATTCCTGTCACAGAAGTCACCTCGAATAACAATCGAGGGTTGAGGGCAAAACCGGATTGTTGTCTTAGTTTTCCAGGCACATTTCAGGGAGGTGCTGGAGTGAGGTTGTCAGTCATGGCTTGGGGAAGTTTGAGAGGTTGGGAGAATTCAGGATTGTTCAGCCTGGAGAAGAGAAGCTTTGGGGTGACCTGATTGTGACCTTCCAGGGCCTGAAGGAGCTACAAGAAGGATGGAGGGAGACTGTTTCCAAGAGATGGAGGGACAGGACAAGGGGAATGGCTTCAAAGTGACAAAAATCAGGGTTGGATGGGATATTGGGAAGGAATTCCTGGCTGGGAGGGGGGGAGGCCCTGGCCCAGGTTGCCCAGAGAAGCTGTGGCTGCCCCTGGATCCCTGGAAGTGTCCAAGGCCAGGCTGGATGGGGCTTGGAGCAACCTGGGCTGGTGGAAGGTGTCCCTGCCCATGGCAAGGGGGTGAGATGGGATGATCTTTGAGGTCCCTTCCAAGCCAAACCATTCCATGATTCCATGATTTTCTCTTCCCTGGCTGCTGAGGATCTGGGAACGCAGTGCTGACAGGATTCCTCTGACTAACTGAGTTACATATAATGTATTATATGTAATACATAATGTATATAATGTATGTAATGTAACAACACCCTCTGGAGTGTATATAATACACTATGTATAATGTTTTATATGTAATACATAATGTATATAATGTATGTAATATAATAACACCCTCTCTAATGTATATAATACACTATGTATAATGTATTATATGTAATAATTAATGTATATAATGTATGTAATATAATAACACCCTCTCTAATGTATATAATACACTATGTATAATGTATTATATGTAATACATAATGTGTATAACGTATGTAATGTAATAACACCCTCTGGAATGTAAAGCAAAGCCCAGCTTGGGGGAAATGATGGTTTCTCAGCTCAGGTTCTGCTCTTTTGGGATCTCCCTGTGCACTCTGTTCCTGGCTTGCTCATCCCTCCCCCTGGGTGGGTTTCTCCCTGCGATCTCCCTGATTTTTACCCTTTTCCAGACAAACCCCCGGTGAGGAAGGAGCAGGAAGGGCAGCAGGAGGGCGAGATGCCGGCGCCGTCCAACACCACGGCCCTGGAGCTGCTCCTCTCCAAGCTGCTCCAGGACTACCTGGAGCGGGGCAACAGCTCTGCCCCCGCCCCGGTGAGGGGTGTTGGCAGCAGCCTGGAGATCCTCTACGTGCTGCTCATGATGGGGCTCTTCGGCTTCTTCACCGTGGGGGTGCTGGTGACCAACCTGCGCTCGCGCGGCCCCGCCGGCGCCCCCGACCCCTTCGACACCTACATCGCCTCGGACCTGTGGAGCAGGAAGGACAGGGAGCTCCTCCAGGCCAAGGTGCTGGAGAGCTACAAGCTGTGCTGCGTCCTGGAGAACCGGCTGGCCCCGGAGCGGCCGGCGGCGCAGATCCCCGAGGAGAAGCGTTCCTAAGGGTTGGAAGGGACGACGGGAGCGGGGCCTCGGGAGGTGTCCTGGTTAGAACAGCTGGGACCAGTTTATCACTCTGTGGATGTAACCCAAAACTGTGTATTCCAGAGCCTTCCATGCCATTTCCCAGAAACTGTTATCAATGAACCATTTACACCCTCTGCCCAGAGCACCCCTGACTCCTCAGGCTGTAAACTGGGTGTTCAGAGGCGTGTGAGATAGGAGGGTGCTCCTGTCCTCATATTCTGATTAATATCTTTATTGATGATTTTGTTTAATATCTTTATTTTTGATCTGGATGAGGGGATTGAGTCCATCATCAGCAAATTTGCAGATGACACCAAGTGTGGACCAGTTGGAAGGCAGGAGGGCTCTGCAGAAGGACATGGACAGGTTGGAGAGTTGGGCTGATTCCAATGGATGAGGTTCAACCAGGCCAAGGGCCGGGTCCTGCAGTTTGGCCACAACAACCCCCGGCAGCTCCAGGCTGGGCCAGAGGGGCTGGAGAGCAGCCAGGCAGGAAGGGAGCTGGGAGTGGGGATGGACAGGAAGCTGGACAGGAGCCAGAGTGTGCCCAGGTGGCCAAGAAGGCCAATGGATCCTGGCCTGGATCAGGAACAGTGTGGCCAACAGGTCCAAGGAAGTGATTCTTCCCCTGGACTCAGCCCTGGTGAGGCCACCCCTGGAGTGCTGTGTCCAGTTCTGGGCCCTCAGCTCAGGAAGGACATTGAGGGGCTGGAGCAGGTGCAGAGGAGAGCAACGAGGCTGGGGAAGGGACTGGAGCACAAGTGCTGTGAGGAGAGGCTGAGGGAGCTGGGGCTGTTCAGCCTGGAGAAGAGGAGGCTCAGGGGAGACCTCTTCACTCTCTGCAACTCCCTGACAGGAGGGGGGAGCCAGGTGGGGGTTGGTCTCTTTTCCCAGCAAGACAAGAGGGCTGGGTGTTCATCTGTGCCAGGGGAGGTTTAGGTTGGAGATTAGAAAGAATTTCTTTCCAGAGAGGGTGCTCAGCCATTGGAATGGGCTGCCCAGGGAAGTGGTGGATTCTCCGTCCCTGGAGGTGTTTAAGGACAGACTGGATGTGGCATCAGTGCCATGGGCTGGGAACCACGGCGGGGTTGGATCAAGGGTTGGACTTGATGATCTTGGAGGTCCCTTCCAACCCAGCTGATTCTGTGATTTTATGAATAATCAGGAGTGATGGTGAAGCTGGTGGGTCTGTGGTGCCTGGGGAGGCAGAAGTTCCTTGGAATCACTGTGAGGTCAAGGAGGGGACACATGGAGGGAATATCACAGACTCAGCAGCTTCACCCACTGAAAAACGGCCCTGAGCTGAACGAGGGCAGGGTTAGGTGGGATATTAGGAAGAAATTCCATCCCTGGAAGTGTCCAAGGCCAGGTTGGAGCCAGCTGGGCTAGTAGAAGGTGTCCCTGCCCATGGCAGAGGGTGGAATGAGATGATCCTTCAAATCCCTCCCAACCCAAACCCGTTCCGTGGTTTTATGATTCCATAAAAAGGCAAAAGCTGGTGTTGCCAGTGGGAAATTAGAACTTAATTAGAACCAAATTGCACCCAAGCATGGCTTAGGGTTTTAATTGGTTTAGGGTTCTTTTAGTTCCCAAGAATGGCTTAGACAATCATTTCCAAGTGAGACCAATTTCTTCCAAGGAAAAGCAGCTGAAACATTCCATTTGTACTTTTTATCCAGAATAATTCCATGACCTGCACAATGCCGTGGATTGCCTATTTCTTTCGGAATCATTCACTTTTCTGGGATAAAATTTCAGGGAAAAAAAATGCATTTTTTGTTTCTGGCAACTATTTCCGTGAGAAAATAAAGACTTTGGAGGGAATTTTTAAATAACTGTTGTAGATGTGGCCCTTGGGGACACGGGTTAGGGATGGGCTTGGCACTGCTGGGCTCAGGGTTGGACCTGGAGATCTTAGAGGGCTTTTCCAACCTAAATGATCCTAATTCACAGCAGGTTCCTCAGCCTGGGCTTGCTGGTTATTTTTGGTCCTCCTCATGGATGGGAGTTGATCCTGGGGGAAATATCCATATCCAAAGGTTGAGCAGCCCAAGGGTGTGACATTTCCAGAGTTTCAACCTCAATTAATTATTGCCCCGTGGTCGGGAAGGGAATTTCCACCCTGAGAAGAGCAATTCCACCAAGTTCCTGGTGTTTAATCAGTGACATGAGTGATGTCTGTGCTTCACTCAGAGCTCCCAGGAGCAGCTCCCTGTCACCCAGGGCAGCATCCAACCCAAAATCCAGGCCAGGAAGGTTTTCCTGCCCTTGGCTTCCTTCTCCCTCCTTCCTGGGCTGTGCCTGCTGAGCTGAGGGGGGCACAGGCAGCCAAACTCAGCTTCCATCTCTCTCCATAAACAGGAGGAACATCCCCCCTGGACACTGCAATACTCAAAATAACAACTTTACCAGCTTGAAGCCTGTTTTTTTATTTTTTGTTTGGGATGAAAGAAACCACAGTCTGGGCAGGAGAGGGGTTTTTTTTAATTATTCCTACTCTGCAGACACACATCCCATTTTTACCTCCTGGAGAGGAAGGAGGAGTGGGAAAGGCTTGACTGTTGTGCAGATCAGCTGCTCCAAAGGCAGGCAGTTTGGATGGGCAGCAGTGCCAGTGCCAGCACATCCCTTTTCCAGGCACTTCTGTAGCCCTGCACTTCCATTTAAGAAACATTCCAGCCCAGTTTGTCCTCCCAGAACTCTTCAAACCCTTCAGAATGCAGTCTTGGTTTCTTTTAAAGCTATTTATCCAGCTCCTACCATTAAGCTGAGGGCAAAATCCATGTTTTCAGCTTGGAAAATCTCCACCAGCTTCATTACCCAGGGCACTTTTCCCCCTGGAGGAACATAAAACAAAGCCCAGCTTTGGGGAAATGTTGGTGTCTCTGCTCTTTTGGGATCTCCCCATGCACTCTGTTCATGGCTCCCTCATCCCTCCCCCCTGGGTGGATTTCTCCCTGCAAAAACTTTGTTTAAACTCACCTCAAAAGTGGCTTTTCATTAATTAAAACCTGTAAATACATCAAACCCTTTGAACATGAAGCTCCTCCGAGGGCTCCCTCCTGCAGCTCTCCCTCCACCCCGAGGTGTTTTCAGGTGTTTTGGGTCTAAGCCCTGGCTGCTCTCTTTATTTTAGGAGCTCCAGGGTGGTTATTTGTGACAATATCATGGCAGCCTTTCTTGATTCCCATATTTTAATTTCACCAGCCTTGCCTTTTTATTTATTTATTTAAACAAGAGAGGAACCACCAGGACTCAACGTGGCTTTTCCTGGGTCACCCTTTGGAGGCAGATCTGGACTCCCACTGTGGGTTTTCACATTACCTTGCAGTTCTTTCTTCCCCCCCTGCTTTTTTCACTTGTACAAAGCAATAAAATATGAATTCCAAACACACTTTGTGGCCTCAGCTGCTGTTTTTCCCTCCCAACCTGTTCCACGAGTTCAGGGGAAGGTGCTGCTCCCACCCACTCACCCGTCCCCTCTACACCCTATTAACCAGGGCCAGGTGCTGGGAGATCTCCCAGGGCACCCAGATCTGGCCAAATATCAGAAGGTCAGGAACAAATTCCTCACCTCCAGGAACTCCCAGGGTTTCAACCCTCCCTGGGGTCAGTTTGGCTCTGTGTCCAGGGCAGCGATCCCGATCCCGGGGCAGCGATCGAGCAGGAATTGCACAGTTTTCTCCCCTGCAGCCCCAGCAGCACCTGCCTGAGGGGACCCCGGGTTTTTGACCCCCCAAAATGACAAGGAACTGTTGGAATGAGTCTGGAAAAGGACACGGAGTTGATCGCAGGGCTCTGCTATGAGAGACCTGGGGGGGTTCACCTGGGAAAGAAAAGGATCCAGGGAGACCTGAGAGACCCTTCCAGGGCCTAAAGGGGCTCCAGGAGAGCTGGAGAGGGACTGGGGACAAGGGATGGAGGGACAGAACACGGGGAATGGCTTCCCAGTGCCAGAGGGCAGGGATAGATGGGATATTGGGAAGGAATTCCTGGCTGGGAGGGTGGGGAGGCCCTGGCCCAGGTTGCCCAGAGAAGCTGTGGCTGCCCCTGGATCCCTGGAAGTGTCCACACTGGGCTGACACAGGACCCATCTCTGACTTCAGGTAATGGCAGAAACAGGATCCAGTGCCCAAGGAGTGCTCAGAAACGTGGGATTCCTTCACTTGCTCCTCATCTTTGCCATGGACCAAAGGCCACCAACAAACCGCCCATCAAGCAGAGCTCATGTTTCCTGATCTCCTGCTCGTTGGGGAGGTTGAAGAATTTTAAACCCCTCAAGCAAGTCTTGCATTTTCTTTGGCCCAAACTTTAAAAGCCTTTTACTCAGGAGACATAAAAGGGTCAAGGAGACTCAGAGGGTTATTTTTCTCCAGTTGGCCTTTTCTCCCAGGGAACAAGGGACAGGAGGAGAGGGAACGGCCTCCAGCTGTGCCAGGGGAGGCTCAGGTTGGACAGGAGGAGGAATTTGCTGCTGGAAAGGGTGGTCAGGCCTTGTCAGGGGCTGCCCAGGGAGGTTTGGAGTGCCCAGCCCTGGAGGTGTCCCAGGAAGGCCTGGCCGTGGCACTCAGTGCTCTGGGCTGGGGGACAAGGTGGGGATGGGGCACAGGGGGGATCCATGGGCTGGGAGGGCTTTTCCAGCCTCAGGGATCCTGGGATTACCCAGAAATAACATTTTGAATTTACACCCTGCATTGTTACAGCAACGTGATAGGAACACACCCAGGGCTGGAGCAAAACCAAAGCCCAGGGGAGCAGCTTCTCCCCTGGGGGTGTTTGAGAGGTTCTGCTTTGTCCAGCTGCAGATTAACCTGGAAGTTGTGTGGGACAAAACCCCACGAATAAAACACGAACAGCAGCAGAAAGGAGGACAAAAAGGTTCTGAGCTGCACTTCCTGGAGGGGAAATTTAGTCCTTGTGCCTTGGGGGGAAGAAGCTCCAGGTATCCAGGGGCAGCCACAGCTTCTCTGGGAAACCTGTGCCAGGGCCTCCTCACC